ACATAACAGACATAACATAAAACACCAACCTACATTTTCTAGTTTATAATTAAACACAGGATATATATACATATAGTGCAGAGTTTGCAGCATTTCAACTGAAACTACAATGAGGTTAACATGCAAATGTTGGTTTCTTTTACAACAAAATGAAAGCAGATGTTTTAGTTTCATTTTCCCCACCTATTCTTACGCCTGATAAAGCAACTGAGATATGACAAAAGAAGAAAAGGGAAAAACAAAGGTAGAAACAAAACACCTGAAAAACCTCAGTCTCTCTCAGTTTGCTTAGTGTGGTTGTCTTCTCTGCATTAATTGTTCACTTTCAAAGGAGCATGAAACTGATTGTTGAATCACTGACCACATGCGCAGGATGGACGTCACACAATTTGTTTATCAAGCTGACTTTACAAAAATAATTTTTCACTGAAGGAGTTACGTCCCAGCGAAAGCATTTTTTAATAAATCTTGAGGTTTGTTAGTCAGAGTACTTATTGCAATATCATTCACAGAAATATTTTACATTTTATGTTCCACTGTCCTTGAAATCCAGTGCTTCTGTGTTTTTAGTGACACCTTGTGGTCATAATTAAAACGTACACTATAAATGAGCATAAAGGAAATAATGTGTCAACTTTAATTGTTAAATAGGAATCAACTCCAGCTGTGACTTAATGCACATAATTTATTTTTCATATGCGTGTTCAGATGTTTTACAAAAGTTCATAAGAAAAAAACCACTGCTTCTACTTTTCTAACATTTGACATCACATATGTTTCTTTTGCACGAATAATAATAAAAAAGAATAAGCTGCTGCAGAAATAAATAGCATGGAAAATATTCACACTAAAACTTAAAGATACAGTTCACCCCCAAATCAAATTTATGTTGTTTTTCTCTGGAGTGTAAGTCTGAGTTGAAAAGTTTTGTAGATATCAACTGCATTTATTTGTAGTAATTATTCTATGATAATCCATGGTGTAGTCATGTGTTTATTTGGGCATAAAGCTGATACTGGGGTGAACTGTCTCTTTAAAGTGAATATAAGTATACTGTTTCTAGAGCCCAACCCAAGAGGACCCACATTCCCAGACTGAGGATTCCTGCAAAAAGTCCACTAAGCTGCATCGCCTCCGATCCAGAGATTGGGATATCTGTTGAGAGAAAAAGAAAGTAATTGAAATTGATTTAGCAGTAAGAATAGAAACAAGCAAGTGCTAAGGAGTTGTGCGTACCTTTAACTTCTACCATCTTGGTGGCCTCAGCAGAACGTCCAGCAGCTTTATTCTCTGCAATGCAGGTGAAATTTTGAAAAGTCCCAGGTAGTGAAGGAGTCCACCTGACCTCATTTTTATGAACTGAAAAGTAGGTTCCAACAGGGAAACCTCCCCTGAACTCCCACCTGACGGTGCATTCCACATTTAAGGTGCAGCTGGTCAGGCAGGTGAACTCACTTAACTGACCAGGAAACACAGTGTCAGGTCCGCTAATGCTGACCTTCCACTGATCATCTGCAAAAGATAAGAAGGCTTGTTGCAGTTATGACAAAATACAGCCTTTCTTGTTCTGGTTTAATCTCTCTGTATCCTTGTACTTACAGCTGAGTAAATAGCCCAGGCTGACAACTGTTGTCTGTGATGTAGGCAGATACGTTTGACACTGGTAGAAACCAGCATCAGAGGGCAGCAGGGAGTCAAAGTGAAGTGTGAGGTTGTTTTGCTGAAGCCACATATTTTCACGCAGGGTCACCTCTTGTCCATCTTTATACCAGACTAG